GCCCTTATGACTGGTTTTGTGGTCCAGGGTCACAAGGGTCACATATATCTCAAGGAGGACTGGACTAGATGGACGAATATAATTCATGAGTACTAAGGTCAAGTAGGTCAAGTGCCATATTCTCAAAACTATCGTTTTCAATGACTTCAAAATCAGTATTTTGATCACTGGCAGCTTATTCATCACATCCACCATCAAATGACAGTGACACTTATATTTCATTGTGTACAGTAACTGCTCTGCAGTAAAGCCATTCATACCAGTTCAATTTTTGCTGATGATATTCTTTTGTTTTATGCCTGTGGTAATTATGAGTGAAACCTCACGTCATCATTGTCTACCAAACAGTGACACCTTATCAAAAAAACAGACATTCTTTTATTTTTTTTTCCTTGTTATGTTGCTTATAATGAATAGATTGAGAAATACTAAGAAAGTTGATGTCTAACTTTAAAAAATGAAGGCGGGAGAGGGTAGTGAATGCTGTCCCGGGTCACTAAAGACCAGAGGTATGCATTTAAGGGTTAATTGCAGTAGAATGGATTGAACAAACCACATGTGACAAAGTTTTGTAATGATTCTGGCTCTGCCCTTATGAGTATAAAGGCTGGTATAAATAGAAATCATCAGGAATTACTTTATAAGATTTTATTTACAAACTGCACATGTGGGCATCCAGGGGAATGAGAAAGTAGATAGACTGGCAAAAGATGCAACAAAAAAGAGCATGTTGATGTCAACATTATCAAATTAAATTATCAATTAAATTGTCAAAGTCAGAAGGAAAGAGTTTAGTGTGGAAAAATATAATGGAAAAATGGCAACAACAGTGGGATCATGAAATTAAAGGAAGGCACTTGTATTCGATCCAAAATAACGTAGGCTAGGTATGGAAAGTAAGAAGGGAAATAAAAGGAGAGAATAAGTCATAATAAGTAGGTTGAGAATTGTAGATTGCAAGCTAAACAAGATTCTTCATGTGCTAGGAAAACATCCAACAGGATTACGTGATGAATGCCAGGAGGAAGAAACAATTAAACACATCTTTAGCCTATATCATGCGAGAAATTTGTACAAGAAAGGCAAGAGTTGAAGGGTCAGCTATGGGAGATATGGTATAATCTAAAAAGTATAGTGGAATGTGTAAGTGGCGAAGAAGGAAGGACATTTTGTGACCCTGGATCACGAAACCAGTCATAAGTAGCACGGGTATATTTGTAGCAATAACCAACAATACATTGTACGGGTCAAAATTATTGATTTTTCTTTTATGCCAAAAATCATTAGGATATTAAGTAAAGATCATGTTCCATGAAGATATTTTGTAAATGTCCTACCGTAAATATATCAAAACTTAAGTTTTAAACTTTAAAACTAACTAACTTTAAAGGCGATTTTATCAATATTTAGATTTTTTTGCACCCTCAGATTTCAGATTTTCAAATAGTTGTATCTCGGCCAAATATTGTCCTATCCTAACAAACCATACGTCGGTGGAAAGCTTATTCCAGCTTTCAGATAATGTATAAATCTCAATTTTAAAAAAATTTACCCTTATGACTGGTTTTGTGGTCCAGGGTCACATTTGTGTTTAATATCTCAAGGAGGACTGGACTAGATGGACGAATATAATTCATGAGTACTAAGGTCAAGTGAAAACAGTAGGTGGCAGTAATGCAACATTATGGATGCCAGCTGCCGTAAAACACCAAAGAAGAAGAAGAAGACGTTATTGTTTACAAAATTCACGTTTTTGTTATTTTCAAGGAAATGATAACGGTACCTTTTACTTGCGCTCTGAAACCCGTTTTCAAAAGCTTGCCTTTTTTTAGGCCCCCAAAACGCCTACCGCGGTTGTCGAACAGGCAAAACGCAGTTTTCCGCTTTTAGTTGCAGACAGTTCCGTGGAATCGGCCCCTCAGTGAAGTGAGTCCACGGTGTTTTGAATATTCACTGATTTATAAAAGAATTTAAGTAACATTTCGCTTCTGTATTGGTCTCATTGCCGTGATTTGAGTGTCTTTACTGGTGACTGAAATAAACATTAACTTAGCGGCAATGTAAGGAAGAAGCTAATGTGAAAATCACTGAGACCTGAGCGGATTTTATAGTTTTTCTAGGTTGGTGTGAATCGTCGTTTCGATGTTTTGACGCGATTATGTCAAGAGTCAATGTAGGAACGATATCCAGCAGTGCTGCGGGACAGCAGCAGTGCTTTTCTTCTCTTCTGACATAATTTATCCTGACTCAAATAATCTGTCTCTACCGCAAACACTTACAATACAGTCACTTCTTCAGATGATCATGCAAGGCTTGATTTAGGATTGTCTCTGTTATTTCAAGGCAATATTTTCCCCTTATGCTGATGTCTTCAGATCACCTGTAAACTGCCACTTAAAGGCACAATATGTAAGATTTTTCGATTAAAATATCCTAAAATCACTAAAACAGTGTTATATATTTTGTAGACTTGTGGATTTACATTATCTCAAATGTTTCCAAGAATGTTTTGAAATTATTGCTTTGTTTTTTTTAAAATATTGCTTTGTTGTGCTCTTTCATTTTAAAGAAAGAGCAGTTTCTGTCCCTAGAAAGAAAGAAAAAACAAGTTGATTATCTTTTTTTTTTGACTGTAGTTGTAAATTGAACTATGTACTTTCATATGGACATATGCTGCTGTGTGGTAGTTATTTAGCTGTGGTTAATGAAACAGAGCTGAACTCCCTGATAAGACTTATTAAAAGGGAGTGTCACAAAAGCCTCTTCATGTCAAAAATAATAATGTTAAGATTATTCCACAGACAAAAGATAAATACTTAAAAGATGTAAATTTGTTTTAAAACAAACTAAATAGCCTAACATTAAATTTCAATAGTTAGATAGAAAAACACAAAAGACATACTTGAAGTGTGTGAATTAAGCATCCATATTGATCACTGATATGTTTTTGATTTTAGCAGATCTGCTTCTCCAACCACACAGCAATTCACCTTTAGTGAAGCTCCTCCCACAGCGATTCACCAGTAAATGCTGGAATATTTTCATCGGCCTACAAGTGAAGACAGACTTTATTAAAGAAAGTCGAAAACATGACTGATCCAGAACCCTGCAGAATAAAACAGGAAGACACTGAAGAAAAAATAGGTTGGTGTATATTCTTGCTTCTTCACTAAGGTTATAAAACTTAAAGCAGTTCATCAGATTCAGTGGTTGCAGTTAGAAAAATCATAAAGCTGTGAAATAACATCTAAAGCTGCAGTACAGAAAAGACGTGAATTTACAAGTTACAATGGTACATTGTTTTGTTGATTACATTGAGTTGAGGCTGAGCTATTCAGCAGATTCAGCATGGATGAATATGATGGATTGAGGCGTACATGTGCCTGTGGTTAAAGGCATTCTGTTTTTGTTTTTTGTTTTTTTAATCAGAGCATGTCACTAACGCCATCAAAACTCATCCCTCCTAAATGAAAAGAAATACTGTTAAAAAATAAATAAATAAAAATAAAATAATAAAATGAGCCAGTAATATCTTCAACAGTTTTAAAATAACATCACAAAAGTTAGGTAATGCTGACATTTGAGATAACATTTGCTAGATATACAATTTATAATACAACAAATACATATTTTGCTTTGGAACCTTCAGAAAACTTCAACTCGATTTTTCTCAAAACTGACTTTGCTGACTCTACAGTCATGGCCAAAAGTTTTGGCAGTGACATCAATTTTGTGTTTTGCAAAGTTTGCCGCTTCAGCTGTTGTGGTGTTCATTCACATTGTTTCTAGATTATTGTGTAAAGTGATCAGATGCATTTTAAATAATTGCTAAAAGCTTCATTGGCCACAAAAAAAATAAATCGTGTCACCACCAGTGCAGAGCTTGCTCAAGAAAGGCAGCAGGTTGATGTGAGAGCATCTGCACGCACAGTGAGGCAAAGACTTTTGGGCAACGGCCTGGTGTCAAGAAGGGCAGCAAAGAAGCCACTTCTCTCCAAGAAAAACGCAAGAGTGATAAAGAAGTGGTCAAAGATCATTACAATGAAATTTTGGATCCGTGGCAACTCCCCGGATCTCAATCCCATAGAGAACCTGTGGTCAGTCCTCAAAAGGCGCCATAGAGACATGTGGAAAAATAATCTACAAATACTGAAGCAGCAAACTTTGCAAAACACAAAATTTATGTCACTGCCAAAACTTTTGGCCATGACTGTATCTACTTCAAATGGGTGTATCGCAGTTATTTTTTGTCCAATTCCAACAAATCATTAATAATAAAAAAAAAAATTTAAACCTAAAAAAAAAAAAACTGATTATAAAATATCCAAGTTCAGCTGTTTTGAAACAGTTCATAATAACCAGCTGAATTGGTAATAGGTGAGGGTATTGTGATTGGATGTAAAAGGGGCATCTCAGTGTTTGCCAGCACAAATGGGTCATGGTCCAAATTTTATGAAAGAATTGCCAGACAACCTCTGAGTGCAAAATTTAGATCTTTCACCATCTACCATGAATAATATTGTGAAAAGATTCAGGGAAAGAGAACTCCCAGAGAAATCTTTTTAGGCCTATGTGTAGGTCAAGCAGGACACCTCAGTTGAATGTGCCTGACCTTTGAGCTAACATAGGCATTGCATGAGAAACTGTCATGCTGCTTTGTTAGTTATAGCTACATGGGCTCAGGAGTAATGTGGAAAACCAGTGTCACTTAACATACTCTACCGCTGCATGCAAGAAGTGCAATCTCTGCTACACAAGAAGAAATCTATACATCACTTCTATGCAGGGACGCCAAGAATTCACTGGGCCTGAGCTAGGGATGCTCATTTTAACTGGGGGTGCTCTGATCAGGATTTTTGAGGCCGTTCACCGATTGTCGATCACAGAAATCAGTATCTGCCGATACGATCACCGATACCGATCTTTTTAAAGCCTTCTTTTTATCATGTAGAATTATTTATAGTGATGATCCAATCAAGATTTTTAGACATTTATTCAGGGCCTGAATTTCATTTTTGAAAATGAATTCCCCTCTTAGGTGACTCTTGTGAGAGGGGATTTTTGTGGAGGGGGGAGTTTTTTAGACATTTTTCAAAAATATATATTTATATCAACTAAATGTTTGATCATGCACTGCATTTTTGTTTTGACAATCGTGCAACTGTGACACAATAGCTTACACACAGCACAAGCCTGATTTCGTGAGCTGTATGTGAGGTTCACACATACTCCGTATGCAGTCCATGTGGTACGTAAGCGGTGCAGAAGCAGCACTGACTCTCATTGTGCTTTCACACAGTAGTCTGCTCCTGATCCGTGGCTGTTTACTACAAACACAAAATTTATCCATTATTTTGATTTCAAATCCAAACATTGTTACTTAAAATGCTTTTTCAGCATTGTGATTCTTTTTTTACATAGTACAGTAATACAATCTTTCATAGACATGTTTAAATGCAATAAATCACATTATTCAATGCTTTTTACTTTTTCATTTACTTCTAGATTTATGTATTAAGTTGCTCAAGCAAGTGGCAAAAAATGTAAACTACTTTTCTTACAGTATCACAAACATTTTAAATTAAAACTTACCATTGACAGAAACAGTCAGCTCTACTGTCTTTTATTTTGCATTTAAATCTTTATTACAAGCAATCCTG